AAAAAAATTCATATCAATTCTTTCTGAAATAAAACATACACAAATAGCTCTGGGGCAGTTACTTATATTAGGTACACTTTGAACATTCCCCTCCTCGATCAAGAAGTGTTGAGAAAACAAGGTGGTGACATCATCTCATTGTCATAATTCCATTTATTGAGTGTGCCAATGGGTTAAGCATTTCATAAACATTATCTCACTTAAATGTCACAGCAACCTATAAAGTGGGGTTTAGACAAAGTTTAGTGAGGCTGTCACTTACACAAGACAAGTGGTAAAAAAAACCCACAAAAAACAAAGGTCTGAATCTGAAGTCTGAGCATTGAACCACCCCACCCACTGCAATGTGGTATTATGAGTAAGAAGTGACTGCACACAAAAAGAAATGCTTGATATTACACATCTGTCTATCTGCTGATGTATATTCAGTGCTTAACACAATGCCTAGTACATAATGGCCCCTCGATAAAAATTTCTTGTTTGAATTTTTAAAAATTTAGCAAATTTCTATACAGTGCCTAATAAAAACAGTTGATGATGGTGATGTCAATAAAGGATGGGAAGGAAAAAGGGTAAACCATTTGAGATTTTATCACAATAAAGGATACAACTCAGTTTAAACTTTCATGAGATCATATTAGAATGATATAATTCACATAATGTAAAAACCATCAGGGAAGCAAAGGAAACAGGCTTCATGCTATTATAACAATCTACATGAAGGCTTATTGTAGGTACACATTAGATTAAATCCCAAATCCTTTGTTTCTCATTTCTTTTATTTCAGATTCACATGTACGTAAAATGCAATAGTACTAATACATATATATCATCAGTAATTTTCCTAATCACCTAATCCTTTGTTTCCAATTTTTTTCTTTCACTTTTCTGTTAATAAACTGTGAACCATTAACTTTAATTAAACGCTAAACAGTGCCCAGCCAGTGTGGCCCAGTGGTTGAGCATCAATGGGACCCATGTACCAAAAGGTCACTGGTTTGATTTCCAGTCAGGACACTTGCCTGGGGTTCTGGGCTCAATCCCCAGTGGTGGGCGTGCAGCAGGCAGCTGATCCATGTTTTTCTCTCATGGATGTTTTTGTTTCGCTCTCTCTCCCCCTCTGATTTCCCCTCTCTTTAAAGTCAATAAAAACATATTAAAAAAAAAAAAAAGCTAAACAGAACAAAAATCTTTTCAAGACTTCTGACACCATCAAAGGTTTAAGAATTCCATAAAAAGCCCGGCCCACATGGCTCAGCAGTTGAGCATCGACCTAGGATCCAGGAGATCAAGGTTCGATTCCGGGTCAGGGCACATGCCCGGGTTGCAGACTTGATCCCCAGCGGGGGGAGCGCAGGAGGCAGCCAATCAATGACTCTGTCTCATTATTGATGTTTCTATCTCTCCCTCTCTCTAATTTATAAAAACATAAAATTAAATTTTTAAAAAATTTCATAAAGATAAAAATAATCAAATATTAATATTAGCTACAACTTACTGAGTACCATACCAGCTATATACTAGGTATGTTTATAAATTCTCTCTAATCCTTAAATAATCTGGTAAATTAGTTAATATTCACATTTTACATGGGAGAAAATAAATTTGGAGTCTAATGGTAACTTATCCAGTCAGTCCCTATTAAGTCAAAGCTGTGACTTGAACTTGGGTCAGTCTGATTCCAAGGCTTTTGGTCTTTCCATTACTTCATTCTGCCTCACACAGAACTGGGCACCTTTTGTTTATGTGGTTTTGATTATACTAGATTCTTATTCTTATAAATTATGCAATCAGCTGGGAAGACAAGATGATGAATATATGTGTGTGTGTGTGTGTGTGTGTGTGTGTGTGTGTGTAAGTTACATAATATACATAAAAACACAAAAATAAGTAAGGGGCAAATCTGAAACACAAGAAAAAACAGCATGGGTAAAATGTCAAGATTTGATCACAGCCATCACATGCATTTCATAAAATTTTGCTTTATATGGTTCTTTATGCATAAACTTCTTATAGGAATTATTTTAAGATTAGAAAGCAAGTAACTTTTTTAAAAAAATCACATCTTTTAAAAGTAACCTTTACATTTTCTATTACAAAATCTAATCCATGCTCACTGAAGAAAACCTGAAAAGGCAGAAAACTGTTGACTGAAATAGTAATATATCCATTAATACCACCAAAATTTGCCTCCTGTTTTTTTAATTGATTTTTTTTTAAGAGAAACGAAGGAATAGGGAGAGAGAGAAACATCAATGTGAGAGCAAAGCATCAACTGGCCGCCTTCTGCATGGCCCCTACCAGGGATCGAGCCTGCACCTGGGGCATGTGCCTTGACCGGGAATCAAACCGTCAACCTTTCCATGTGACGGATGACACCCACTCAACTGAGCCACACTGGTCAGGGCTGCCTGTTTTCCCCTATTTCTTTCACTTACTATTGTCATAACAATTCTTATATCAAACATTCTTCAGAAATTATTTTAATTATCGCATGATGTCTCACAGCATAAATGTTCTTTATTTAACCATTCTAGTATTATTTGATTGATTTTAATTCTTTTGCTGTCATAACTAATACTCATATATGAATATCCTTATATATAAATCTTTATATTTTATATATTGAAATGAAACAACTCCTATTTCCTTGAATACCTGAATTTTATTAACATTTCATTTGAAATATCCATAGACATATATATATTTGTATCCTACTTGCAATTTCCAATGTGTAGTTCAGGATGTTCTTGCATGTATTTTTTAACGTGAAATATCTTCACTTTTTAAATATTTATGTTCTGCTTAAGTATATTATAATACTTAAACATATGTGCATATTTGTAATATACTTTACCAAATACACTTTTTATTTTGAATATAAAAATGAGCAGTGATAGAAACAAACACCCATGCTTATGTGGATTATTTGTTCTTTCACATGACACTAAATAAAACCACAGTCCTATAATGTTCCCCTTTCTATTCAGGCACTGACATAGTTGTTTTTGTCATGGTGCTTTGTATTTTGACCTCACCTAATACTTACTAGGTGGAAGATAAGCTATTTACAACTGTATGCACAATGAGAAAATATGAAAAAGTTTATGAGTCTACCAAGGGTCAGTTAATTTCTTATAGCTTCAAACCAATGAATTTCCTAAGCAATTCAGATTTTTTATTTTCACATATTACAATAATAATTCTCTCTAATGTCACAAGTAAAGTATCTTTAAGATTTTTTCAATAAAATAGAGCTGAAATGTTAAAAAGTAAAGATACATTCTGAAAATTTATACTTTAAATACTAAGTAGTTGGTCATCTTTTTAAACTAGATTGCTTTGTCCAGAGAAAAGATGTAGCATTATTATTTTCATCATTTTAGGAGGCTATAAAAACATACTAAACATGTTTCTAAAATTTAATATTTACTAAAAAAATTATCATTAATGATAAATATTTAATTAACAAGAATCATAAAGCAATCAAATACTATTTTATGCATGTATGATTCATAATTTAGTGAAAGAGAACCCTTAAATATATACCAATAAATATTTGAAGTACATGATTAGCTACATTATACAAAAGTTTAAAGAGCAAGTAATATTGCTTGATGAGTTTTCCTCTCCAAGAGATAAATGAGCTATACAGACATATTAATCCATGATTTTCAGTAAGTCACAATGGCCTAAATCTTATTAAATTACTTCTGTAAGATACATGCAAAGTTAAATTTTGATGCAAACACCTTAAAACAAATGTACTTTTTATAACACCTTCCTAGCAAACAGCATATATAATTGATTATAAAAAGCCAAGAAACTTTCAAATTGTGCTAAATTTATATATGAATTATTCATTTTTAACATACTGTTAATTTTCCTTAAAATATATTATTCTCCTATTTCCCCACTTAAAAAAAATCATGGTACTTTAACATTAACAGAAAAACAACCATCCAGGATTTAGCTGGAATAATTATTTATAGTCATTTTGGCTATATTTCCATAGTGTTTAATTCTACTTTGTACAATAATATTTTGAAGACAGGTTATATATGCTAATGTCTCTGACATAAAACACCATAATTCTTTCATATATGCAACCAAGGTTAAGTGGCTCATAAAGTATGATTCTATAACTTCAAAGAAATCACAAAATATAATTATTCCTTAAAATCATTCTAATTGATATAAAAATGTTAACATAAGTAATCTCTAAAATGCCTTTGAATGTTAATTGCTATTTTTTTATGAAATTTCTCTTTCCTTAACATGCTAGGACAGTGCGAGGCAGTCACAGTGACATATGTGTGTATATAGATGAGAGATCATAACTATTGAGAATCATCTGGCCGTATCTGTAATATACCACAAATTTAAAAATTTCCTCCTTTCAAAGACCTGTAAGTAAAGATGGACTCAAAACATATTTAAGGGAGTCGTTTGTAATTTTAAACATTGGTAACCTTTCACTTTAAGCTTCTCAGAGAAAACAGTATTTCTATCTTCATCCACATTATCAGATAAAAATTTATTAATTGCACAAAACAGATTTTAAATTAAATGTAGGTTTCCACTGGCAATGAATATATGACTATCTTCATACAAAGGAGAAGTATTTCCTCTCAACGAGCTAAAACAATAAGTGGTATTTGAACTGCTGGTTGAAAGGTAGAGGCACTGATAATCATTATTTCCCCTTGTTTGTTCAGGCCCTTCCAACAAAACAAACAACCTTTTTGTGATTGGATTGACATGGTGTTAACAATGCATTTAATGCCCAAATCAGTATGAATACAGGTAAAGCTCTCACTAATACCAGAGCCAGGATGTTAAAGCCACCTATTTTCTAAGCAGCCGAAAAAAAGAAAAAAAAAAGACAGAGCTTCCCCTCCTTTGGCAAATAGCTCGTATGCTAGTGTTCACCAAGCCACATAATATAATAACCTTGTGCACATTTCTTAAGGCCATATGTTAAAACTCATCTACCATACCTGCTGTCTTTTCAGCAATTTGAGCTTCAGTTGCTTTCTCATGGAGTTCCAGCTTAAGCTTTAGTTTTCTCTGTTCTTTATCTGCTTTAGACAGTTTTTCTTGAAGCTTAAACATATAGAAAAAAAAAGATTCTTACCTGACAAATATCTTGCACAAACATAATTAATCCCAAAGTAAAATTCTGTTCTTTTCTAATATAAATAATATTACATTTAGCTACCTAAATACGTAACTCCAGAGATTAAAAACCCACACAATAGTTAAGGTTAATATATTTTATAAAGTAATAATTACCTGTGATGACATAGAAATTATAAAAACTTCTTTATATACTTTGTGTGTGTGTGTGTGTGTGTGTGTGTGT